ATAGTAGGGAAATAGCGACCGCCCGACCGGAATATATTTTGAAACGCTCCCTTACAAAAAGTTTTGCCAACTTCTAAAGCGATTATTTGTGTTCAGCAGACATCGCTCTAATCAGGCATCAACTGGAAAAGCAGTTTTCACTATCTTTTAAACCAAAAATCCCCGAAAGCGTAAATTAGCTCATCGATGCGTCTACAGTATCGCCAGCTTTTTAAACGACGACGAAATATATAGATAGTTTGATGCAGTTTTACATGCTCTATCCAAATATAATAACAAAAATCTTCGAAAACCTTGCGTGCCATAACGGAATTCGGGAAACCGAAAAGTTTGTCGAGTTTTGAGAGTAACACTCGATTTTAACCACTATTCAAAGCTTTAATCACTAACAACTATCATATTTGGAATCAGCGTCCAAAACTGGATTTTGTGATGTGTTCCAAAGCCGCTTGTCACACTGTTATAGAATCGGAGATTTTTAGAAATCCCACCCAAGACCTTGATCAAGTAACTTTTCAGATCTGCAAACTTCTAATACACACCAATAAATCCAGTTTTTGATGCTGATTCCGAATATGATACTTGTTAGGGATTAAAGTTTTCTACGGCGCTCAAAATTTTTGAGTTTTACTCTCAAAACTCGAGAAACTTTTGGGTTCTCCGGATTGAAAACATCAAAGTTGTAAAACATCGACCGTAAGTCATCGGAAAAGAGGAGCTTTCAAAACATTGCTCACAGATCTTTATAATATTTCTAGAATGGCGCAAGAAGCTATTTATAACTCGAATTTTGCAATAGATTTTGTTTTGATGCCTGATTAGAGCGATGTCTGCTGAACACAAATAATCGCTTTAGAAGTTGGCAAAACTTTTTGTAAGGGAGCGTTTCAAAATATATTCCGGTCGGGCGGTCGCTATTTCCCTACTATTCCCCAATTATTCCTCTATTATGAAACATATGATTGTATACTAGTTTTGCTGTACATAGTTTATATACATCGATGATATATTGATTGATTTTCTTTTCTAATTGTTTTTACTTCTTCAAAAGCAATTAACCGCCATGTATCCAAAGATTATTCATTTAACAAGCTATCAATAACATATTTAAAGCTGGTCTATTGTTTAGAAAAGCATCTCTTTTAGTCTTTGAGAAATATGACTGTGAATATGGTTAAATTTGTTAAATTGTTTTAAATTTTGACATGCTCCTAATCAATATAAAGAATTCCTAAATAAAAGATGTGGTCGAACAAGGACAAAATTTAACAAAAGTATTACTAGAAGAATATTAAAACATTCAAAGATACTATTAATAAAAAGTGTTGCTGATTGCGTACTATATTATTAAATTGAAATTCTTCCGTTTTACTGTAATTTTTAGATCTTTAGGTTCGTTTTGTCTAAATCTTTACTTTTATAAAGAAAAAACACTTGATACTATAGTTTCTTCCTTCTATTAAGAAAAATATTGTATCCTAAAAAGGCCTAGATAGTGTGGTCAAAATCGTGTTTTACTAGCTAGCTTTCAAAATTCTTTTACTTAGTTTATTAATTATGTAATTTATTTAGAGTATATACGATGAAAATAGTTTTGGGATTCGAAGTAATTTGGTGGAGGTGGAGCGTCTCGCACACGTAATTTTAGCGCACTCTCAGTATTTCGTGTTTCCTAACGCTATACTCCCCACAATAAATCAGAATCGTATGCTGATCACGAATTTGTGGTTAAAAGTAAGAAAACATTGTGTCAGGTCGAAACTTGAAGAAAGTTGGTTTTTGACCGTAAGAGGCGATCATATTCGGAAAAGTATCGACAATATATCTGTGTAAAAAGTAGAATTTTTCGAAAGGCTTTCCAGAATCACTAGTGCTGTCGAAGGTTGGAAAAAATAGCGTCTTTTTCCACGAAAAACATTGTTTTCGCTTCCTCCGCTGGTTTTGTAGCTTGGTATCTCTGCAATACCTGAGATTTTGGTTTCCTCGCGGTTTTTTATGAGCTAGTTTTTTGCAAAAATTCAAACATGCCGATCCAAAACTTGGTCACACAAAGGTAATCGAATGCAGTGCGTCCAAATGAAAAACTAACAGCTCTATGATTATTAGCATATTCGACTACTTATGTCTAGACGTTTTTAGTACTCAAAAGTCGAATTTTCCGAGAAGTTAGACTAGACTAATATCTCGGCGAGAAAGCAAAATTTCAAGTATTCCTAAAATAACATCCGAAAGAGGACGCTTCAAGCTACAAACAAAGCGAAAAAACGAAAAAAAATTTGTTTGAAATACACGCTAATTTTTTAAACTTTCCTCCGCTAAAGTTAGCTTGGGAAACACCCGGAAAAGTTTTTTTTCACACAGATATACTTCTCAAAGTGTCTCAAAGTGGGTTGATTCTAATACGCAAGCAGACATTTAGTTTCAACCATTCCATTTACGCTGGAAAAAGGATTTTTATAGATTTTCGTATGTGCTCTTTATTATGGAGTCTGCAATACGAGAGGATTGTTGGAGACCGGATCTCTGGAAAACCTTCGAAAATGGCGTTTAAAGTTTTTAAATCATGTGAATAGATTGCCCATAACCAAACACCCGTAGAAAACTGGTTTTAAAAATTTTCTGACCCTCAAAATTACTGTAAAGAAACATGAGCTCAAAGTTTAGAGAAAAAAACTTCGAAAGTCGCTGTCGCCAAGAGAAGACACATCACCAGATGCAGTTTTTCACGCTGCATTCGAGTCGCTTATTAGTTTTAGCAAAAGTGTTTTGGGACTGAATAAAAGTGGAAAATTTCTAAACAACCAGGGTTTTTTGAAAAATCTCTAACTTCGTTCAAAAACGTTTATGCTACTTTGTGTTAACTCAATAGACGTATCACAGAGAGAGGAACAGGTCCTGGATGTATTAACGTCGGCGGACATTAGAAAAAATTAGGAAAGATACCTAAGGTAAAACTACATGTTTTGAGACACCTAGTGGATAGCAAACATAGGATTGTGTCTTTACAGCAGTAATTTTAGAATCTGTGTCTGATTTTGAGCGATTTTGCAAGAAAGCGAGAGGAAGCGTAAAACCAAGGTCAAAAGTACTATGTTTCGAGTACTGGACATTGTATATTTCTAAGGCTTCGCAAATATGCAGAAGAGGTGTTAAAAACTTATGGAGTACAAGAAACATTCTGAAGAAGGAGCTTCGAGAAACTCTCGCTGATACACTTACGTTGTTGTGCTTCTAAATAGAGGAAAAAAGTACAATGAGTTCAAGAGAGAGAGAGAGAGTGAATAAATTGGCCTTAGCATTCTTACATAGTGGTAGTCGTTGTTGTAGTCGTGATTATGTATTCTGCTGGACAGGTACCTGTAGTCGTTCTATTTTCAACAGCAAATGTAACGCAGTATTGTGATGATTGTATGCCCAAGCTGAAAATAGGAATAAAAAATATACGAAAAATATCATTTAAAAGATGATTTGCGATTGCATCGAGAAATCGCTTTTATTGGCCATTTCTTATTACATATTCCGAATCTATGAGAGAAACTGATGCCATGAAAAATCTACTATCGCACGTAAAATAACCGAGTTATACGCAGTTTGAAGTCTACTCCTTCAGAAACCCGAGAAAAAACGATCACCTCAATATTTCTCTTATAGCTCCGCCGTTCTACGTACGATTTTTTCGAGCCATCTTTCATTCAGAAGAGTGTTCTTTAACATTGTTTGGACGAAACTGACTTTCCTAGAAAACGATCAGTTGAGAAATTACAACTTCTGAAGATCTTTTTTCCATTTCTGAACCATTTTCGAGGTTCTATAAAGCTGGCAACTGATCTCACTCTATTATAAGTTGTACTACAAAATTGTCGTAAAAACTAGAAAGCCAAAACACCCCGGGTTTTAGCGCGAAAATTGCCTCCAAACAACGATGAGTTCTTGACCGGTTTCGAAATTAGCAAAATGCTATTTTATCATAGAAGCATAAAAGACACATATGGTTCAGTTTTTAACGCTGATTCTAAATCTGCGCTTACTTTTCAGCTTTGACACGTTTGATGGAGAAAATCGCGAAAAACTGAAAAATTAGTAATAGTGAACCATATTGTTTAATATGGGAAAAAATAAAAGTTGTAATTTTTCGAGTGCCCATTTTCTAGAACAGTAATTTCTCGTTAGAAAAAAATGTTAAAGATGTATGGTACAGTTTTTGATGCTCTTGCAGATGAGAGGTCTTTGAAAAAAATCAGAGGTAAAATGGAGGAGTTATGAGTGAAATAATGAAGAGGACGCTTTTGTCTGAGGTTTCATAGGAGTGAAGTTTGAGATCCGTATAACTTGATCTATTTTCGTCCCAGCTCGGTAAAAACTTTCGCATAGCCTCCGCTTCTCTCATAGGCTCAGAATATGTAATAAAAAGTATATGTTAGTTTTGGTCATTAAACCGTTCTCTGAGAGCATGCTCTATGGTTGGCAAAACTTGTTTTAACTGCGACTCGACATTATCTTCCTTCGTTATATATAAAAATATTTTTCTCTCTCTCTCCCGTCCAATTGCTACTCGCCTATTCAATGCCACCATACACAGTGTCTGTGATCCAGTTTGACTTGCTGAAGGTGTCCATTGTACTTCGATATAGTACAAAGTCGAGTTTATTGCCGTTACTGGAACAATTTTTCTTAATCCAGTGAATGATTGTGTTGCTATGTCACTAATTGTAACAGTTGATCCACAATTACTTATTGCATAGAATATATAAGTGTAATTAACGCCAACTTTAACACCGATACATGATTGATCTAATGGAATAATGTCTGGAGGATCTAGACAGGATGCATTAATAACACTGATTAGAAATTGAAGTGGTACACTACTGAGAGCTGTGAAAGATGTACTGTTCACGAAATCTTCAACCTACAAAACATTAAAACAAAGCGAAGAGAGTGAGCTGTTGTTAGGACAGGAACAGTAAGTCATGACTCAGTGATGTGTTGCATGACGATAGAATTAGAAAAAGAAGTGTCTGCCTAGAAGAGAAAACGCACATCCTCCCACCGAGCTCCCACAGCAAAATAGCAACCAAAAACACTCCGGTCTTTAAAAATTGTTTGGACGAAACTGACTTTTCTAGAAAACGATCAGTTGAGAAATTACAACTTCTGAAGATCTTTTTTCCATTTCTGAACCATTTTCGAGGTTCTATAAAGCTGGCAACTGATCCCACTATATTATAAGTTGTACTACAAAATTGTCGTAAAAACTAGAGAGCCCAAACACCCCGGGTTTTAAAAAAGGCTCGTAAAAGCGCCTTTTTTTGAAAATGAAACGGAGGAACGAATAACCGCGCTTCTTGCTACGCATTTTTCGCGTTTTATACATGAAAATCTTTCCTCTAAAAGATCGGAAGAAACGTGTTTTTGGCTTTTGTAGCACGCGAAGACCACGGGATTTTTTTTAAGAGTCGCGGTTCTTAAAACAGGCTCGCGGTTTTGGCGTTCTCAAGCATTTTTCTCAAAAATTGGCTCGGACTTCTACTTTGATCTCAAGGCCGAATTCAGAATCAGCATCGAATTTTGGGTCTGGAAAAGTGTAAGCGCTTAAACCTTATATAGTATATATCTATCTTAGGAGGCTTTGACGATTTTTCTGAAGTACTAAAGAATTATTCAAAAGAATTGAAAAAATCGGCGTTTTAGTGAGGTACACGCACTTTTTTCGCTTATTTTGTCTAGTTAACGCTGCTGGAGCTATTCCAAATCAATTCCTTCTGATCCAAATAGAATGGCGCTTTTCGATTTTATGTATGCTGTGGGATCTGTGGGCGGAGTTTATTTTTAAGCATCACTGTCCTGATCAGTACACTATCGAGGCGAGTCTTTTTCTTCTTCTTCTTCTTTTAGCCATGAGAGATGCTAACAAATGTGCTCATAGCTGTGTAGTGTACTCCTTTTACTTACCATAATTGCAAGAGCATACCACGTACCGACTGCTGTTCCCTTTATGTTCAGTGCACAATTACTTGTTAAATTTGTACCTGCTGGATATGTACTGAGTGATTTACACACACCTCCACATTCTGCACCTGTTGCCCAGCGACATCTAATATCATCACCATCAGCATCAAATGTTGACCATTGTATTGTTTCTTGAACATTTACTGGTATTTTTATAGGTGAAATAATATTAGCAGTTGGAGGTGTATTGATAAGACCATTATCAGGTCTCAATCGTATATCAATATCACATTCTAATTGCCAAGGTGCTCCACTACCGCCAGCAGTAACGCTGGTCAAAGTTCGCCAACCATTGGTATTATTGAACATAATTGAAAAATGTGCTGCTGTATTAGTCAAATTCACTATATAAGAACCAGAAGTAATTGTCACTCCTAACGTTGGACTAAAATCGACACATGGCAGTGCATTATAAGCCACATATGTATCTGACCAGCTATAAGAAGTTGAACAATTCGATAAACACACTAAATAATTACTGCTTGCGCAACATTGGATATCTACTGGGGGATATGCATTATCAACCATACTCTGATTACAATAGCCCTTTGAAGTGCTTGACTGATATACCCATGAATATGTTTGTATGACCATAATTTGAATTGGACGTACTGTGTCTGCAGGATTTACTGGTTTCCATGTTATTGTTCCACCATTAAAGTGTGAGGAGAAAAGCGGTTTGACAAGGAATAGCTGCAGGAATATTATTATGCTGAACCAGGTGATCATTTCCAATGATCTGCTTCTCTTATATCAAACTACCTGTAACACTGCATACTTCTCACAGTAGGAAGATTATAATCAAGAACAGAAAAGAGTAGTCAGTAAAAAAGAAAATCGACTTTGACAAATAAAATTACCATTTTCAGTATCAAAAAATATCGACAAGGCTTCTTGCCAACCTATTCAGATTTACCAAAAGAAATTCTTTTTTTTCTCGATTTCTAAAAGAAAAATAATTTGATTTTATCAGGCTGGCCAATTCACGGTTACCCCGTAATCATTTTTTAAGGGCGACTCAGCAATTCCAGACAGGTAACGACCATTTCCGACATAACCACACACCCAGGTCAGCACAAGTGGGGAACCGCTTCCCAAAAGTCAGATGTCCGCTAACATCTAGAAATCTGGAATAAAAAGAATCTTTGTGGTGAAACAAAACCAAAAGATAAACTTCAATAGGTATGAACATACAGTAATTTGGAATCATCAACTTTTTGCATGATGTTGCCGAAGAAAAAACCGGGTAAAACATCGTGCAATAAAGTCAATAATTTGCTTGTTGCAGTTCTTCAAAAGTGTAAAGATCAAAAAGGGGAGAACTATAAACAGATTCGTCAAAAAGTGTAGAGCAGGCAATAAACGGTCACGGCACGCCTTGGGTATCTTATCAGACTTCTGTTAAAAGACTGTTTTTATTTTTTACTATTAATCTTTAATTTCTATTATTTTAAATGAACCAGAACTCTTGGTTAGTTTCTCACTGGCTCCCATTTTCTACTTCTCTTCAATCTTTTCTTTACTTTTGTTTAGTCCGACTAACGTTAGAAGTTTGTGAGGAAAGTCGAACTAACCATTGAGTGAAATATTTCTTCGGAAGTTAATAAAATACAAGAAAAGGAACGCAGAATCAAAAATAAACATCAAGATAAACTAAATTGATTTTATAAAGTATATAAATTAATTTTTATTTTTTATTTTGAAAGGGTTCATACGTCAAACAGTTGAGGATTTTATATGTATGAAATCGTCAGCACCAATAGGATTTCCATAAAATCCGTATAATTTACAAAACAGTAGAAGTTTTCGTTTACATTATTAACTTCAAACTTTTTTTCGCAATCGATTTTTCAAGAGAAAACATTTCTCTACAAAATGAGAGGTTCCGGCTCTAAGTAAGTCTTTATTATTAGAAATCTTGCTTCTTGTACGACGTTTCAGCTTGAGTCGAAGAAGAGGAAAAATAACAAACTTCAGGATCGAACAAACTCTCTCTCTCTCCCCAAAGAGCTTTTTCTCGAGGCAGTGGGACACTAATTTCACCATGTTTTACCCAGCTTTCTCTTCGGAACATAATGCAATTCATTTCACAAGGATTGACCTCAAAATAAGTACACAGGAATTTTATTTACATCTGTAAATTCTCTTGTTAAATTGTTCTTTACTCATTCAACTTATTTAAATTTTTGTTACATAGAGTCTATCTAGGCGTATCTTCACTGAAACCAAAAATATATTTTTTCTCTTCGCATATATTTTCTCACACAATATCCCGTTTACGCAATACTTTTCTGTTTTGTGTAAATACTTCTTTATATACCAGAACAGAAAATTTTCTTATTCAACACGTATCCGAACAACCCCTATTTTGTTTTCGTTCAAATAACATGCAGACATAGCTAGTGAATACTTTTATATTAGAGATGAATCGAATCTGTAGCGATATTTGAAAACCCAACTACACAAGAAAAGCCGTTTTTCGTCCCTTCAATCGTTTTCTCAATTTCACATCACCTCGAAAACTGATTTTCAGCAAAAAGATATTTTACACACCGAAACATTTTGTATGGCTGAAATATCCAGGTCACATAGCCGCAAGTCACATCTGCTACCAGAACACCTTAGATATAACAATTAAGATTCAAGAAAATAAAAATACTTTTACTATTTTTCAGTAACTATGTGATTAAGTGGCAGTCGATTAAACCATGTTTTATTCGGACTTTTCTTCGAGAACATTATGTAATCAACTCCACGGAAATAAAAATTATGAAATAGATAAACTTCCCATTCCTCATAAGTCCTTCTTCCTCAAACATCTCGAGTTTGGATCAAGTACATAGCAATATCGACTACTTAGTGTTTAAAGTTCCCTCTGTTCACTTATAACAAAGTTGAGCTTCCTTCACATATTTGAAGAATTATGTGAGGAAGAGGGTTCTTTTTGATCTCCATTGCTGATTAAGAAAAGGTCGTTAAACTATGTAAACCAAAAATTCTCTATCTTTCGGCATTAAAGCAAAATTTTCATGATCCTGTGTAACTCGGAAAAAATTGAGTTAATTTTGAATGCATCCTTTTCAGAGTTCTCATGATGTTGTGCTTCTAAATAGAGGAACCCCAAAAATGATGAGGATTTTATGTATGCTGTGATCTCAGTGGACGGAGTTTATTTTTAAGTATCACTATCCTGATCAGTACACTATCGAGGCGAGTCTTCTTCTTCTTCTAGCCGTGAGAGATGCTAACAAATGTGCTCATAGCTGTGTAGTGTACTCCTTTTACTTACTGACAAGGAATAGCTGCAGGAATATTATTATGCTGAACCAGGTGATCATTCCAAATGATCTGTTTCTCTTATATCAAACCACCTGTAACACTGC